TCCATGGAGATTCCTCAAAGAAATAAATATAAACTTAACATTTGACCCAACAATCCCACTAGTGGGTATCTACCCAAAGGAAAAAAAGTCATTTTATCAAAAAGACACCTGCACTTGAATGTTTATTGCAGCACAATTCACAATCATAAAGATTTGAAATCAACCTAAGGCCAATCCCCATCAATTCATGAGTGGATTAACAAAATTAACAATACACACACACACACACACACACACACACACACACACACACACACCACACACACCATGGAGTAATACTCAGCCATAGAAAGGAATAAATTAATGTCTTTTGCAGCAATTTGGATGGAACTGGAGACCATTATCCTAGGTGAAGTATCTCAGGAATGGAAAAGCAAACACCATATGTACTCTCTAATAATTTGGAATTAATCAATGGGCACACATGGGCACAAAGAGAAGTAAAAGTCATTGGAAATCAAGATGGAGGGACAAGGGAGGAGGCAGGAGGTTAGGTATAAAGAAAACTCTACCTAACAGGTACAATGAACACTATTCTGATGATGAGCACACTAACAGCACTGACTTAAGCATTATAAAAGCTATCTATGTAAAAAAAAATTTGTACCCCACTAATATTTTTAAAATAAAAAAGAAAAAAGATATGATTTGCTTTCTTAAATTTATATTAACCATATATTCATTCCTAGAACAGTAAGCTATTGATTTGATTGCTATTTGTTGCCAGTTTCCTTGAAAATAGCTATTAGGATAAAACAAACCTTTGCATTCTTAATTCTGTAGAAAGTTATAGTAGTTCCTATTACATTGTCCTATTGTTAGATTGTTTCTTTTACTCACCACAGAGATTGTCCAAACACTTGTCATTATTGTGGCAGGCACTGCAAGTGGCTCCTTTCTTATATGGCCATGTTGGGTAATTTCCTCTGTAAAGTACAAGATTGTCTATTAGAAATTTTTTTAATTGAAATATACTACTATGAATCCTTAACTATATCCAACAGAAGGTGGAAGTCCAAAGATTTGGGGGGTTGGAATAGAAGGGAAGAGAGGAAAGCAGAAATGAAAGGCTGCTAATATTTGCAGAGTTCATTCTATATATCTATGTCTATGAACCCATGTTTAGTCTACATCACCTAATTATAATAGCTCTAGGAGGAATTTTTTTATTTCTGTTTTACAGATAAGGAAACTAAGGATGTAAGACATTAGTAACATGCCCAAAATCACAAGTTGTACTTGTCAGAGCCAGGAGGAAACCTAGATTTGTCCAACTCCAGGACAATGCTCCCTTCACTTACCCTCTGACCTATATGATAACTGCCATCCAAAAAACGTCCGTTATCACAGAAAAGCTGTGATGACCCACATTTACTTTCCTCATTCTACCAAGCCTCCATAGTTTTTACTGGATAGAAGCCATTTAGCTAGGGGGTAATTGCCTTTCCAAAAATAAATAATGAGAGACTTGGGGAAATTTTTAAAGTACAATTTGTTTTTGTATAAAAGATATGAGATGACTGATAGCTAATGATTACTTAGTACTTGGAAAAAGTCAATGTAATATGGTAGAAGTTTTTTTAGCAATTACAAAAGATGTCCAAAATAGGCATTAATCATTGGAATATCTTTCATTGTTAAAAAGCGCAATACTCATTAAGTGGTTGAAGTTCTAGAATGGTTTTAACAAAATCATTTATGATACTTCATTTTTTAATTGTGCATTCCCAACTGTAAAGGAGAGGGGGAAAAATTCCCTCTTAAAATAAAACTAAGACCAGGAGCAGTGGCTCATGCCTGTAATCCTAGCACTCTGAGAGGCCAAGGCAGTAGGATCACTTGAGCTCCAGAGTTCAAGACCAGCCTGAGCAAGAGTGAGACCCTGTAGAATAGAAAAAATTAGCTAGGCATAGTGACATGCTCCTATAGTCCCAGCTACTTGGGAGGCTGAGGCAGGAGGATCACTTGAGCACAGGAGTTTGAGGTTATGGTGAGCTATGATGATGCCACTGCACTCTAGCCAAGGCAACAGAGCAAGACTCAGTCTCAACAAAACAAAACAAAACAAAGAGTAAAAAAAAAAAAAAACGCAGTTGTTAGTTCTAAGGAAATGATAGACTTCATCTTGGGAAAAACATGTTACTAGAAAGGCCTGGATTTGTCTAGATGGAAGTGAGTAACACAAAGTGGCTTAAAGTATTCTGCCCAATAAAGAAGCAGGAAGTTTCAGTGTTTCCCTTTGCAGACTGAGACATAAGAGGGTTGGGGCCTTGGGACCCTGGAGAAGAGAGAAGACAGATTTTTAAAGAAAGAGATAAATATAGAATAAGGGTCCCCAGGGCAGGGGTAGCCAAAGCATGCTAGGTATTGTATTTACTATCTTGTAGTCAAGGTTATTTCCTCTTCTTTGCTATAATCCTCTCCTCCACTAATCCACCCTGAGTAAACATCTGTGACCATAGCCTTGCTTAGTGATGTACAGGGAAATGACAAAGAGAGAGTTATAGGCATCTGGAGAATTAAGTATCCCAGACCCCATTTCTGAGATATTTGTGAAATATTGGGAAGGATACTGGACTTCTTATAATTATGTGGAATGGGGACCTGTGACTTTTTCTTTGTATTTAGAAGGAAAAAACCATTTCAGCAGGCAGAAGGAAGTGAGGACATTCCTAATTGGTCTCTGTGCTTTCCCTCTTATGCCCTGCCAACCCATTCTCCATACAAACTGATCTCCAAACATGAAGCAGTCTCATCACTCTCCTGCTTAAAACAGTTGGATGGCTTCTTGTGATTTGAATAAAGTTAAACTTTGCTATGATCTTTTAGATCTGCACCACCTCCCTTCCTCCGTCCTTTTCATGTCATTCAGTGGTCCAAATACTCTGGTCCTCTCTCTTCTTTAAACTTGCCAAACTCCTCTCCATGGTAGTTTTGCAGTTGTTTTCTCCACCAGACGGCTGTTCCAGAAGTTCTCATGTCTGGTTCATTCTTATTCTTCATGCCTAAACTTAAATATATCATAGAAAGCCCTTACCTAATCATTTTATTTTAACTAGGGGTCTTACGTATTGATAGTTTCCATTACAGTGTTATTTATATTTCCTTCATTGCCCCTATCATAATGCAGTTATTTTATTTGTATTTTTATTATCTGTCTGCCCCATAAATATACTTTTTTTTTCATAAATATACTTTTATAAGGTCAGAGACTATGTCTGGCTTGTTCTCCTTTGCAACTCAGTAAACAAATATTTGTTGAATAAATGAATGTATGAAGTTAATCTTTACAGAAGCATTATAACTTTGTTTCTAAGTTTTACAACCTAATATTGTTTATAGCTCTGAAGGTAAGTAAAGTGAGTCTAAACCAGGAAAACTCACATTTATACTTTATTA